CAAGATTCTATTTCTCCCAGGTCTAGAGAAAAGTACATCCAGAATATACATGTGTACCAACATACAAATTTCCTCAACAACGAATTCAAATTAGTTCAGTTTTTAGCATTCTCTTAGTCCTTTAAAGACTATTCACATGTAAAATCACAGATCAGGCAACCTTCTTCCAAATATTTTCAAAGGACGTCTTGCATTTCATTCTGTATCCTGGGTACCTAATACAGCACACACTCCTAGTAATACTCTGTTGATCCTCTGGATTAATTAATTTTTGGTGTCCATAACGATAGATAGACTTGCATGGGATATCTGCTCAGGCTTCCCTTGTTAATCTCATACAGGTTTTGCACATTAGATAGTTGTGCTGTGTGCAAATTAGCAAATGGTTTAACTCCAGAGGGTGCTGAGCCTAAGCTTCTCCTGTCTAGCACAAAGAACTGCAGTGACTCTAGCTGCAGTCCTGGAGCAAAATGCTGCTGCTGGATTTTGCCACCCCCCCCCCCCGACAGTGCCCTGAGACGTTTCACCATCCACCCAGGAGATGCTGGCCCCACAACATCTGGATGAGACAAGAACACCTGGGTGGTTGTGCCCCCATGCAGAGACCGTGCATGTAGTTAACTAGTTGGGAACTCAATCCTTCCAGATATCCAAAGCCTGTTTCTGGAGATTTCTATTTTCCAGGTATTTCTCATGGAGACAAAAATGCATTATTAAGATCCTGAAATTTTTTTACTCTTCCCCCACCCCTGTCTCTCTCCCTCTCCCTCTCCCTCTTTGTTTATTTATCTTGGTGGTTATTGGGAGATAAATTGCTTTTAATATTGTACTCAGGTTTTTTAACCCTTTTTAAGAAAAAGATTTAGATGTATTTCTTTAAATATTTGGACCCAAAAAAATATTTGTAATCCACCTCAATTAGGAAATAGGAAATTGTAACCAAAAGAGATGAACTGTGATAATAGGAGAACACTGTGCTTATGAGCAGGGATTTTTACATAAGTGCCATCTCCCTGTTTGTCATCTGTGGAGATCATTTTAAGTCCTCACTCACGCTGGCTTTTCTTTCTGACTTATTTATATTCTCCGAATATAAAAATGCAGCAGTCAGAACGCGGCTTTCAGGGCGTCTGTGTTCAGTTCTGGTCTGAGGGTTCCTTCCTAAATGGACTCTGGTGTCACCTTAGCACTCGTATTGTTCACCGAAACCCGAGCTTCCCCAGGAAATTGCAGCAGTTAATTTAATATCATGAAACGTTTGGGGGCTTCTTGGTTTATTCAGAAACAAAAGGGTATAATTCAAACTGAGGATTCTGTATAAAGTAGAGGATAGTGAAAGTTGCCTCCAAAAAAGAGTCAGTTTTGCCTTCTCCACCCCGGCCTTCCTGCCCCTCGGCCTTACCCTGGGTCCCTGGAAATCTCACTTGATTTCAGGAGTCCTTCTTGGGGTCCTCCGAGGTCTATGTATCAGATAGGCAGGACCCCACGGGTGTGCAGCCCAGTGTGGGATCAGAGAGAATTCTCCGTCGTTCTCGTTGCTGCTAGAAGGTCCACAGGGCTGTGCCGGGATGATGCTTCTTCCACATAGTTAGGTTGCAGCCCTGCATACCTTCAATAGCAGGACTCATTCCACAACCCTTAGTGGCCATCTGTGAACAACCCGGCGCTGTGCTAGGCACTGGGGTACGTATTCATGTAGTAAGGAGAAAGTTTCAACAGCTGCGGGAAATGTGTGTGTTATTGGTAAGGGAAAGCAGAAAAGCCGGTGTGCATCCTCAGAATGCTGAGTTCCTTCTGCTCACTTTTCCAGAGTTTGTTTTTGCCCACACCTCTGAGTGACCATGTGCTTTTGGATTTGTTTCTGAGAGGGTCTTTGAATGAGTCTTTTCAAAGGCACAGTGTGGACCTTTGACCTGAGAGCTTAGAGTACACATCAGTGGCCTCTGGTCACATCGACCCCCCGAAGCAAACTACTAAGTGAGATGCTCTGGCCTCAGCTCCGGAAGGTTCTCTGTGCTCAGGAGCACTCCACCACATCATCCTCAAAGAAATGCTGGGCTTGCATTTATTTTGCCTCCTGTCTCCTGTGCTTTAGGACTTTTATATCTCTGAGCTATCATTTCAGAAAGAAAAAGAAACCTGTCTGAACAAGTATGTATTTACTATTTTAGTGACTTAGTTTATCTGCGTGAAATATCAAGAATAATTATAGGCTATCAATTGGGCTTTTGTGAATACTCCAATGTTCAGAGCTACGAAGATATAAGAGCTTGGAACTGGAGGAACTGGGTGGTTTTTGTTTGCCTGATGAACCCCACGGCAGTGCATCCCCCTGGTTCTCATAATGAATGGTGCATCTTGAGGGTAAATCTTTGACCCTCGAGACTGGGACATAGTTCCTGTCTGATTTATCTTTGTCTGATTAGAATGAAAGAAGAAAATCTCAGCTAAAATAAACATCTCCTAAAAAAAAATCACATTCACAGCTTAAAATTTTTAAATTTTAATACAATTCATATGTGCTAAACTAAACTATAAAATACACCCACAGAGTTGGTTACATTACAGCTCAGTTTTCCCCATTACCAGTAAACAACTAGGTGTGCTGCTGAAAATATTAAAACATTGCATATTTAATAATGTTCTCTGTTCTCAGCTTTAAAATGATCAGGGTCCTCTCTAAGATTCTTTGTCCACACCACCTTGTGTCTTGGGCACAGGACTGATGGCACATTAACTAGTGGATTTTTAGAACTCTGTTCCTCTTTCCCTACTTGTTCTCTTTCTACCACTTTGTTTTTTCTCTTCCTTCTATGACTTTCTCTTTTCTCTGAGAGATTCCATATTTTCCCATGAAAAATTCTGTATATTTAGTCTCCTGTTGGGTTTCTGATGCTCTCAAGAAAAAGAATGGAAACACATCCCATATCCATCAAATAAATAATGCACCAAGAGCAAGGACCTCTCTGAAACATCAGCACAAAAGCAGATGCACCTCAAACTGCCACTTCTCCGCAGCCCAGGCTTCCCAATTTGATGATTTAGATGCTTTTCCACTTAGGCGGACAGTGCCATTTTTGCCGGATTCAGCATGTTCATTGAACAATTTCTGGGAGCCAAAAGCCAACTCCACTGCATTTCTGCTTGGTAAGGTTTGGTGGCCTTGGCGTGGGACGGGGGTGTTGATTCATCTCCCTTAAACTGATGATAGATATAGAAGCCAGGCAGTAGCATTAGGCTGCCTTAGTAGAACCTCTGCAGAGAATCGGCCGCCTTGGTGCCTCAGGAAATCCACAGAAAGGATGCTATGCAAATCCATCCCGAGAACAGCTCAGGAAGAATTAGAAGCAGGGAGGTCTCAGATTCCTTGTGCGTGGGCATCAGCGAGAACCTGGAACACTAGGTAGAGAACTGGTCAACCCAAGCTTCTGCTTCCTGGAGACCCGTCATCTCCTGTGTATCTTTAAATTCTAAATGTCTGAGTCTTGTCTTATGAATGCCTATTGGGGCGATGTGAGTCCCACAACATTGTGGCAGAACCTATCTATAACATGCGACATCACTCCGATGGGGTGTGTTTCGCTTGTGTGCATTTGCACAATTGTATATCTGTATAGATTTTCAATGATAAGAGTTTAGTTTTAATTCTTTCTTCCTATGGTAACAAATAAGACCTTCCATGAGGATTATCAAATGTAGCTTTGAGATAGGTTCAGCGAGATGTATTGGGATAGATTAGTGCAAATTACATATGAAAATTTCAGCTGAAGGAAATCCCTTCATTTGAGAGGTCCTCACTTTTTCTGAGACAAAAGAAAAAAAAAATGAGCATCCATCAGGAGTTTTTTAGAATAGTGGTAGTTCTGTCAGCCTCCATGTCAGCCACCATGGTGTGCTCTTCGAAGTATAATAGATAATCTGATATTAATAATTGTTTTCTGGATAACATCTATTTGTTGTTTTGAGAGAGAATTAAATGGGTTAGAGATATACATATGATATTAAAATTGGGTGTGGTCATGGTAAATATCTTGACTTTATCATCAGATATCCATTTTTTGATCTAGAGAAAATGGCATCTATTTGTTACCCTTCCACTAAAATCCCTCAGTCCCCAACTAGAATGCATATTAGTCAAGACATCTTTTAAAAACACATTATTTTCATGCGCATAGGATGGAAAGGGAAATAAAGAAAGGAATCCTGAAAGAGGTGCATTTAATTCTCCCCAATTTAAACGCAAGTGGTACATCGTTAAGGCAATAACAATATTCTTTTTCTTCTCCATCATGAATGTTTCCATCAATGAATTTCTTTAATGTCGATGATGGGTGATGCAGTTTGAGGGAATCTGTATTTAGTCAGAAAATGCTTCAATAGAATGACCTACCAGATGGGCCCTATAACAATGCACGGAGACATCAAACCACCACAGACATTTGGTGCTTAGAATAATAAAAAGACTATAAAATTAGATTAGTTGAGTCTAATTTGGAATTGGTATATTCCCCATGCACCCGTGCCGCTCTTGGGCAGATAAAGCCTTGAGATTTAGCGCTGTGTCAGAGCAGAAAGACTGCAACTTCCAGTAAAAGGGAGACGAGGGAGAGGGGAAAAAGCATTCTGGGAGGTCGCGGAGGGCAGAGCAGTGACCTCCAATGATTTACAGGCCTTTAGCTTAATGAAATTGTTTCAGTGACATGACGGTAAGAGCTCGTAATGGATTGGATGCCCTAATGTAATGAAATTACTCCCTTCTGCCTAAAAAAAAAAAATGCGCAATTAATATTTACTGAGACCTGACAGCCTTTGGTGCGCTCGTCTGTGTAGTTCTCTCAGACAGTCAGAGAGGAGAGACGGAGCAGCGTGGCAGACAGGCTGGCTCTGCACGAGCTCTTGGCGGGGACGAGCAGAGCCTGCAAGGGGGTGGAGGGACAGGCGCTCGGTGGCCCTCTGCGCTGCCCCCGCTCAGCTTCACGCTCTCCCTTGCTTTTCCACAGGCAACTGGATAACAATCGCATCAGCTGCATTGAAGATGGAGCCTTCCGAGCGCTGCGCGACCTGGAGATCCTGTGAGTCGGTTTTGCGATCGCTGCCTTGTGTGCGTGCGTGTGGTGTGTGCCGGTGCGGGGAGGAGAGAGGGGGAGTGTGTGTGCAGGGGGCTCCGTGTGGCTGCTTTTCTGAATCTTCTGCTGCAGTGCTATTAAAATTGGGAACCGGGAGATCCCTCCGGCTCACCTTGACCAAAGTGCTTGCAGGCAGCAGAGTGTGATTTCTCACCTCCCACAAACTGGGGTTCCTACTAATTAAGTCTCAATTGAGTCACTGCAGCCCCGATGCTCCCTCGGTACTCGTGGCTGCGTGAGACAGATGGGCTAGATGGAGTCACCCCACAGCCCGTCGGAGTCTGTTTGAGTGGGCATAAGAGGAGACAGGTTACAGGTCTGGGGCCAATGAGAGAGGGGCTAGCACCAGAGGGTCAGCTGAAATTGCCCAGAATCAGAAAGGGACCTTAGCACAGGACAGGGCGGATGCCAAACACCTGGTAAAGTCCAGCCATTGCCATCACTCCTGGGATCTCATCTCAGGTTCAAATTCAAACTTTAATCAGTAACCTTAACACAGCAGGGTGGAAAAGAGGAGGGAAGTGCCCCCTCTGTCACCTCACCCTATGCTTCTTACCTAGAAAAAAATGTATAGCTGTCTTTCTGTCCTGGATTTTCAAGTGGTTTAACTAAGGAAATCTGATTTCGGGGGGAAAGTCAGCAAACAGTCATCTTGGGGTCATTCAAACTAAAGTTGGATTGTGTAAGAAAACATTTTGAATGTTCTCACCCATGTCTACACTTCCATCTGTCCCTATTTGGGAGCCTGGAGAGGAGCAATAAAGCATAGTAGAACTTGTGTCAGGAGATGTATGATTCAGTCCTAGTTCTGCCACTAATTAGCTGTGTGACCTTGGGCAAGTCTCTTCGGCTCTTGAATCCTCAGTTTTCTCATTTGTACAATGCAGTAGTTGGTTGCTCTATCTTGGAGTGACTTACCTTTACAAATTCTGCAAAAAAATTATTGCAATGCTACAATTCTAGCCAGTGAGTGCTAAGAGATTAGGATTTGTTGAGCCTCCTTTGAAAAAAAAAAAATTACATAGTCACAGGTACCTGTGTCTGATTCTAGCAGAATGAATGAAAGCCGAATCAGTACATGAATGAATATATTTAAATGCCCCTTTGTACATAAAGGAAAAGAGTATAGGTTCTCCCTTCACCTTCCTGTTCACCTGGCCCAGAAGATGCTAGCAATGGTTAGAAAGAGCCCTTCACCCTGTCTGAGAGGAAGGTGATTCCAAGAGGAATGGGGGAGGGGGGGGGGAAGGGGCATGCTGAGGCTGAAAGCTATTGGAAATCAAATGAGAGCTGAGAATTCCCGGTACAGAATACACAGGACCCTCAGCAGGGGAGTTGGGTTGTCATTCCTAAGATGGATGGTCTCTCCTCACCCAAACTCTGACCCCGGAACCGGCAACAAATGCATGTCTGCGAGGGAGAGTGTGCCAGCCCAAATTTAGTAATCTTGGACTTCTCAGGAGGCTGAGGCTGAGATGGATAGGCATGCTTTTCCCTGCCTGCAGAAAACGCCTTTGTCAAAAGGGCCACTAGAAACTTATCACCTCTCCCCTCCCTTGCCAGAGAGAATGAAAAAGATGAGAAAATTCCTTGGGAAGAGACCAGGAAATGGAAGTCATCAGCTTTCACCAACAGCTGTGATGACCTGTCAACCCCAGGAGGGTTCTCTGTGCTAGAACATGTTGCCCCCAAGATGACTGGGGGGAGGGGGCTTCACCCAGGCACACCTGGGTGGGGAATCCCGAAAGTGGTGAGGCTTGGGTCAAGCTTCTTAACCTCTCTGAATCTTCTTCCTCAACTTTGAGGAGTAATGACCTAAGCATTACATAGGAGGGACTCTCTAAATGTTATCCCTTCCACTTTCCGAACTTTCTTTCTGTTCTACCTTCACCCCCATCAAACCCCTACCCAGGACAAAATTAGACAACTCCTCTCAGATATTTGTTAGAAGAAAAATTTGCACCCAGATACACCAGGTGTTTCCAGGCTAAAACTTAGAGACCCATGACCAAAATAATTATCAAAGTTCTCATTCTCCATCATTACAAAAAAGCCCACAGGATCTGATTAGTTTATCTTTTCAATTCCAAACAAAGCCAGATCAATAGCTTTGTTTTAAAGATGCTTGCTTTTGGCTTCTCATGGCTAAGTACTTAAAATTAATCATAATCAGTTATTCCATGGGTTTTTAATTTCCAGCAGAGGCATATAGCTTTGGAACCATCCATCTTAATGGCTAGCCACTCTGAAATCAGTTGGGGCTGACATCTCTATTTAAAGAGCTCCCCTGCTCTCCTGGCCCCAGACCTTCCAAGTCTCATCTGCACATTGACAATTTATAATGCTTCTCTGTAATCACAATTTAGGCACCGTAAAGAAATAATAAATAGGAACTTAGGGAGGGCATCACACATTAATTTAATAAATTTTTCAGAGAGAGAGAGAAAACATATTCAAATTACCCTATTCACAGAAAGGTCATTTTTAAGTATCTGAAGTTTAAAAGTTTGCAAATTAAGGAGACAAACTCTAATGGTTCAGGTGTGCTTACTCATGGTTAGCCATGGAATGTTCTCAAAATTAACTTAAGGAAAATTTGCAGATGTTAACTACTAGTGGAAATTGTTTCACACATGATAACCCCATTATTCTGTCCTTCCTGTGGCTGAAAATCACAAAATGTGCTTCCATCGAGGCTGAGGTCAGTTTCACTGATTCAGTTGAGCTGGAACTTAGGAAGCAAGTCTGGGAGGCAACCCCTGACCAGAAGTGAAATGAACTGGCGCAAGGTCGGAAGGACCGTAGGTTGCCCACCTCGCCCAGTGGTAGTGCTCAGCTCAGAGTGTAGAGGACAAGGAAAAGAGCTACCACCTACCTTCCCAGGCAACCAGGAAAGGAAAAACAGGAAAGCACAAGGTGCAATGTCCCAAGGCTTCCATGCCATTGCAGGAGAGGAAGGACGAGGAAAACGAACAGCGAATGGCTACTAGTGCCCAGCTCCATAGCCAGTGCTTGTGCACGCGCTTTCACTGTGCAGCCTCATAACCTCATGGAGCTGCCGTTGCCACCCCTCCTCTCACAAAGGAGCTCATCTCAGGGAAGTCGAGCCACTGCTCACCTACTAGGCGGCACAGCCTGTGTAGTTAACCATTGTAGCAACATGGCCCAAAGAGGGGACAAAACACTTAAACAGGGCAGGGGGGAAGCTGTCGTGGTGTCTGTCTCCCATGGAGCGTGGTCAGCGTGTGCTGAATGCAGGATGATGACGGTGAACTGGCCTCTAAGAACTGAGTTAGGCAAGCTGTCAATGCCCCATGTTGGGACCTCCCACAAGCCCGCAAACTTGCCTCTGTCATTCCCTTTACCCAGCAAGCAGGTCCCCACAACACAGAAGGCAAATCAGATTTGCAGGGAAAGAAAAAAATCCTGCTTCGTCACTGTTTTACATTATAGTTGCAGAGATGATTCGTCTCACTTCTCGTCGCCAGTTGACTTTGACACTTAATATTTGGGGACTCTGTTTTCCAGAACCCCCCAAAACACAGCCTTGACTTCATGGCATTTATGATTCTTAATTAAGAGACCGAGGCTTCTGAGTCAGACTGCCTTTTGTCACCCAAATTATTGCCCTTTCGTTTCCACCTGTTCTATGCATTTTGTGATTCACATGCTAGGTTTTCTCCAAATCATGCTTATGCTCCATCACATGCGCCAAGACCGCCTTCCCAGCATTGCACAGTCAGGAATCACCAGCCTCTGCCAGCTAGCCAAGGAACAGCCAGGTATTTCAACAGCTACACCAGGCCCATACACCATCATGGGGGAAAAACACTTAAATGATGGTGGGTGGGGGGAGCATTGGACAAATGAAGCAAAAATGAGAAAATCTGGTTAATGAAAGCTGTAATTAATTTTTTCAATAGTATTGCAGAGGAAGAAAAGGTATTTTTAGATATTATTTCCCAGTTAAATGTAACAAATCAGAACTTCAGAAGATACGTTGTCAAAAATGCCAGACCCGTGATGTCAGGAACATGTCCTAAAAATGCTCCCAGCTCCCGAAAGTGGTCTGCCCTTAACAAGTCACTGGTACCCACTAAATTGCATGTAGATAAAACAGCTCTGTTGATGACAATTGTTTTGAAAATCTCGCCCCCATTTATGTCACCTGACAATTTTGGAAATTTAGACATCATAATAGCCTGATTCTGGAAGGGCCTTAGGTGTCTCTAGAATGACCTCTTATATTGTTCAGATAAGGCACAGAGAGAAGGGCCAGGACTGGAAGGAGACACATCCTGCCTAACATTCTGTACCCTGAGCACCTCACTGGGCTCACTCGTCTGGCTGACCCTTGTTAGACTTGCCCAAGGTCAACAGCAAGTTGGTTGCAGTAGAGAGACAAGAATCTGGGGCGCCAGACTCCTGACTCCATGTCTTTGCCCACAGTGGATGTCTCCATGCAACCCTGCTGTTCAGAAGGAACCACTGGTTAGACTGGGGATTCCAAGCATGATTTGTCCTTTCAGAATCCACCCACCTTTATGTTTTTGATACTGTTTCAGAGATTGGTGGGGAGCAAACATTTGTGCAGGATGGAATCAAGGGATGATCCAGCTTTCTGCTCTCTTAATACCAGAGGTTGCAAACCAGACCATAGACCAATGACAGCCCATATCGCACCCACAGATGAGATTGTTTTTTTCTTGTCCTGTAGAGTGTTTTATAAAAATTGAAATTAGCATTTCACATTTAAAACTCGGGATTACTTTCATAAAAATCCAGATTTCCAGTTTCTCTCAAAAAACCCAAAGCACTGGCAACCTTGGGACCACAGTTCCACATTGCAGCAGTCAACCGTGGCTGCGGAGCCCTTGCCCTCCTAAGATGGGGTGTGTGACTCCTCTTTGCCTCTGACCCCTTCTCATTTAAGTTCACTGCCAGCC